TTCAGCTGATCCTGAGGACACAGGTGAGCCTCCAAGTGGCCTCAACAACTCTCTAAAAGAAGGCAAATGACCAGCCGTCTGCAAGGAGTATAAATCCTTCCATTTCCCACCATCCAGTCAGAACTGAAGAAGCTCCTTTGATGAGAAGCGAAAGGTCTTCAAAGGAAAAACAAGAAAGTCCAGTGGCCTCCTGAAAAAAGCACCTTTGGGATTCATAAATTAAGGAGCATCGCAATCTATCAGCTTAAGATAAATAGTTGTAGATGGATTTATAAATACCAATTGGTGGCACAGTCTTCAGATTTTGCAAAGAAATGGAGGAAGAACAGAAGAAGAAAAAACCTATCCCCTATGTTTTTATTTCTTTATGGGTGATGGAAAAACATTTGATACAGGATTGAAAATATAAAGTTTGATATTTGTCTGCCCCTCGGTCATACAGATGTTGAATTTTGGCCCTGTTTTATTCATTTAATCTTTGATTGTTAGTTTTTATAGGTTGCTTATTCAATACTAGCTGCTACTCACGGTGCCTTGACAAACTTGATAGCATTTTGCTTACCCTTGTTATAGTTTGCAAGGAAAGCAAGAAATTCTAAAATACACAAAAAGCAGAAAGCAACAGAGGCATTAACCTGGGTTTCCATGGAATCCGATACAGCACAAATCGCAATCAAATTAATTTGAAATAACCTAAAGAAAGTTTAGGCCAAGAGAAACAATGTTCTCCCCCAAATGGTTAGACCTCTCCAAGTTTTCATATAATGACCTGCCATAAATAATGTACTAAAATCTATCCTGACCCTCTTTTTCTTTTCAGCAATCAACATTTTGCTAACAAATGCAACAACAGACATGTTTGTTTTGATGTATAGCTGTGTGACATATTATAAATATTACATCACATAACTGCAGAGAATGTCACTCAATGAGGGGTTGTTTTTTTTTCTCTTCCCAAATAGCATTAAATGAAGCATGGAGTTCTGCCTCTGAACAGCTCCTTTAAGGAGCTCCTTTTGCTTAAATGATTAATAGGCTATGCATTGTCAGAAAAATGTCCTTAAAATGAAAAACAGTAAACTACAAAGATATCATTCATTTTTTAAGGAATTCTGCGGTGAAAATAGCTCATAAATTATACTCTGAAACCCACCATTTTGGATCTTGCTGCTTTGCAGTTTAAGGTTAAGGTGACGTGAAGATATTTAGCCAAAATGCAGAAATTGGCATGTGCAGGCCTATATTCAAATGCACATAAATCTCTAGACTATCGTTTTAAATTTATTTTAAAAAAATAAATCTGAACCCCCGAACATGGAATAGTCATTATAGCTCGTGTGCTGAGCGCAAATGAAACAGCAAGGTCTCCCTTTCCAGATTTGAACTGTATCACTTGTTGCAAGACATTATTGTACAGATCACATATCTTATATACTATGAAATAATATAATTACCTTCCTGGATGCAGCTTCTCAGAATATATGTGTGATAGGCCTGAAGAAGTATTTATTCCCCTTATGCTAGTGGATAGCACAGGTGTGCCATGATCCCAAGTCTGGTTCAAAGGCCGAAAACAGATTCAGAATAACAGAATAACAGAGTTGGAAGGGACCTTGGAGGTCTTCTAGGCCAACCCCCTGCTCAAGCAGAAGACCCTATGCCCTTTCAGACAAATGGTTGTCCAGTCTCTTCTTAAAAGCCTCCAGTGTTGGAGCATTCACAGCTTCTGGAGGCAGGTGGTTCCACTGGTTAATTGTTCCAGCTGACAGGAAATTGCTCCTTAGTTCTAGGTTGCTTCTGTCCTTGATTCGTTTCCACCTGTTGCTTCTTGTCCTGCCTTCTGGTGCTTTGGAGAATAACTTGACTCCCCTCTTCTTTGTGGTAGCCCCTCAAATACTGGAATCCTGCTATCATATCACCCCAAGTCCTTCTTTTCATTAAACTAGACATACCCAATTCCAGCAACTGTTCTTAGTATGTTTTAGCCTCCAGTTCCTTAATCATCTTTGTTGCTCTTCTCTCCACTCTTTCCAGAATCTCAATGTCTTTTTTATGTTTTGGCAACCAAAAGTGGATGCAGTATTACCAAGGCTTTATACAGTGGTACTGAAACTTCATGTGATCTTGATTCTTTCCCTCTGTTAATAGAGCATTTTTGGGTTTTTGATTCACCCCTGGGCCCTCCCAAAACCACTCCTTCTCCAAACACAAATCTTGATTCAAAATTTGATTTCCCAAAATTAATTCATAATTTCCTCTGGAAATCAGAACTGGGGTATTTTCTCTCAAAACTAGGAAATGTTTCCTGACACATAATTGCTTTTGTGCTTCCAATTTCCTGTTCATTCCCTCCCTCCCTCCCTGAAACAAGCTATTTGAAATTGGCAAGCAAATTTGCAGGTTTTGTACAAATGCGGTCCGAAAACCTTGTTACGAATTATGGATTATATATATTAAATTAAATATATATATATATTTACATTTATATAAAGTTACATTTATTAATAATTATATTAAAGTCACCTTTATATATTTTATGATAGGATAATTGTGAAAAAGATAACATACCTCAACTAAAGTTCAACCCTAAATTGGCAGCAGATAAGGCCCAATGGAATTCAAGAGGGGTTGGACTAGAGCAGGGGTCTTCAAACTTGGCCCTTTTTATGACTTGTGGACTTCAACTCCCAGAATTCCTCAGCCACCGTGAGGGAACTATGACCCTTTGATGACTTGTGGACTTCAACTCCCAGAATTCCTCAGCCAGCGTGCCTGGCTGAGGAATTCTGGGAGCTGAAGTCCTCAAGTCATAAAAGGGCCAAGTTTGAAGACCTCTAACTTAGAGCATTTGTGGGAACATAAAGATTCTAGGCTGATTACTCTCTTGACTCCACCCCAGGCTTTGCATGCTCTTCTCCTACAGAAACAATGGTGGTTTCTTGAAGACAGTTTAAGACCGTGAACAATTCACGTCCTTCTTATAGCTCTGTTTTTGGTAGACCTAAGAACACACTGAAAGCATGCTGCTAAAATTTAAAAAAAACATGTGAGAATGGGAAACTGGGCTATCCACCCCCAAAAATAATTTAATATCTCAGGCAATAAAATGATCTTAGCCTTGACCATGACTTTAAAAGCTGAAGATGTGATGGGGGGGAAGAAAGAAAATAATCAACTTCTACAATACAACCTCACCCCCAGGCACAACGAAGCATGCAAATTCAATAGGCATGAAATTCAAAACTGTTTGTCCCGATATTGCTATTATGTCTAAAACAGCTCACGTGCCCCACATATACATAGACTATATCACTTTAGAACAACTGAAGAAGTGCAAATTATGCACGGTGTGTATGCAGTCATAATTCCTGTCTTCCCACCGCTCTGATGATTCTCTAACACTGGCAGCCAATTATACCAGACAGGGCTAGAGAAAAACATAGCTACGTTGGCTTAACGATTACAAATGGGAAGAGGAACTTTCCAAACAAGTCATTCCAAATTTTGGGGAACTCTGTTGGATATTTCTAGGCCCATTTCCTTTCCGTTTGTTTCCTTGAATGCTAATATGAAATCATTGCGTGCATCTATTTTGCTGTCAATTTGATGCAGCCCCCCCCCCCACACACACACTTTTTTTTAAAAAAAAAGAAAGTCTTGGAACCTAAAAGCATAATTGGCGATGCTTGGTGGTGCCTGTGCGATAATTTATGGAAATGCCTGAGAGTGCCGAGGGTTTGGATGGTGCTGCTGATTCAAGGAGAATTTCACGGAGTCAGCAGCATGCGAAGAATGGCTGTCTTGGTAGGGATCTATTATGAGGATGATGGAATTTGCAAAATCTTGGCTGAAAGAAAAGCTGGCTGAATGCGTAGGCACTATACGGAGGTGAACATTTCATACAATGGAGGGAATGTCTAGGGCAGGGGGTCTTCAAACTTGGCCCTTTTATGACTTGTGGACTTCAACTCCCAGAATTCCTCAGCCAGGCACGCGTGCCTGGCTGAGGAATTCTGGGAGTTGAAGTCCACAAGTCATAAAAGGGCCAGGTTTGAAGACCCCTGGTCTATGGAGATTCTCAGTCATCCAGGTCATGGTTGTCCCACCGGTGCTTTTTTCACTAGGTAACTGGACTTCCTTGTTTTTTCTTTGAAGACATTTCGCTTCTCATCCAAAAAGAGCAGAAGAAGCTTCTTGGATCAGAAGCAAAATGTCTTCAAAGAAAAACAAGGAAGTCCAGTTGCCTCGTGAAAAATTTATCTGTGGGACAATGGAGGGAATGTTAACCAAATCTAGAACTTATCATCAGATTCCATTCCATGGGTCATCTATCTGTATGTCATATATAACTGTTGTATAGGAACACGGTGGCTTGCATGGTTAGGATGCTGCATTGGACGTTAGCAAGCTCGTGTTTGAGACCCAGGTACTGCTATGGGGTGGGTTGAGCTCCCGTCCTTTGCTCCTTTGCTCCTGCTGGGGACATGAAAGAAGCCCCCAACTGGGTGTCCCCTGGGCACCATTGATTTCACTGGCTAATCCTTTCAACTCAGAAGGGCCTTGGTGCTTCTGACACAAGTGTGATGACGAATAGCTCCAATGTGTGATTGTAATCCCTGGACTGGATATTTTTATATCAGACAATGAGAAAGATTCTAGGACGTCCTAATGAGACTCAGTCCCTGTTTTCGTGGGGATAATACACCACATCCCAGCTTCTGTCTGTTTCCTTCGCTTTGGGGAAATAGGGTCCACTGGTTTCCCTCATATATGAGAAAAGGAAGAGAAAGTACATCCTAGTTTAAGATCTAATAAAGTCTCGTTGAAATATGGGAATCTTGGATCTGCAGCATCTTGCTCCATTGATTGATTTGTGCTCTCACCTAAAAGAGCCCTGTGTCATAGCTAGTAACATTTGATAGACCATTAATTCCCCTAAACTATTTTCTATTCCATCTCAGCAGTCACAGGTAATGACAGGTACAGTCCAAGATACCAACCTGTATCGTTGGTAGTCTCCTTCATCCTTGTCTCTGCAGACCAGCTCATTTGGACACGCTGAATTTCCCAGCAAACTAAGGAACTCCAGGGAAGGTGCTACTTCAGCCAAGTGATCCAGCAACCCCTCCAACTCTGTTATGTGTCCAAGGGAGGGAGGGGTGGATTAAGGATTCAACAACGTAAACAACAGGGAAACCTTCAGTCAACATTGTGCCTCTCCCACCCCTTCCCTGCAGCAAGGTCCCAGAGCATGATGGTTCAAGGATTCGAAGGAGATTGTGGCAAGATGAGTGAACCCTAAACTCTAAACTATCATGGCAACTATGACTGCTTCTATCTCTTTCTTTCTTTCTTTCTTTCTTTCTTTCTTTCTTTCTTTCTTTCTTTCTTTCTTTCTTTCTTTCTCTCTCCTTCCTTCCTCCCTCCCTCCCTCCCTCCCTCCTTTTATTTATTTATTTTTTCTCCTCCCTTCCTCCCTCCCTCTTCTTCCTTCCTTCCTTCCTTCCTTCCTTTCTTTCTTTTTCTTTCTTTCCTTCTTCCTTCCTTCCTTCCTTCCTTCCTCTTTTTCTTTCTCCTTCTTTCCTCCCTCCCTCCTTTTCTTTATTTCTTTTTTCTCCTCCCTCCCTCCCTCTTCTTCCTTCCTTCCTTCCTTCTTTCCTTCCTTCTTTCCTTCCTTCCTTCCTTCCTTCCTTTCTTTCTTTTTCTTTCTTTCCTTCTTTCTTTCTTTCTTTCTTTCTTTTGCCTAAACTGAAAGATCCTGGGATTTATTTGCTCCTTGTTCTTTTCTTCGCTTCTTTTTCATTCCTAGCCGACTGTCTGCAAAACATTAAGAACTTTGACAAAGTGATGGATGTTGCATGGGAAAATGGTTAGCGACTGCTGAAGCCATGAAACTTTTCCAACATGGCACTGACGATTACTTTCACAGTACATCCATCACTAAATATATTACAACAGGTTGGAAAAATGAATCTTGGAACGGAGTCAAATGACTGCCGCCCCAATATACCATTGGTGTTTCTTGGGAAATATGTTAAGTGTGTTAGCAGAAATGCTTGACCAAAGAAGCTGCTATTAAAGCCCTGACTAAACAAAGGCCCAGTTTAAAGAGAAGGAAATAATAAAAATGGGAAAGAATGCCATACTAACTTGGAGAGATGAGATATGGCAGTCATTTAATGCATCTGATGATGTTATCTAATTTGGGCAATGAAAGGTCTACAAGAAAATAACTAAGCTCAGAGAGCACCAAGGACTCCTCATTTAATGTATCCTCTATTTCTAAAATTCTATGAAAAGGAATTCTTTGAATTTTCTGCATTTTTGCATGAGATAAAAATAAAACACATGAAGAATGGTTACAGGAATTGGGTATGTCTAGTTCAATGAAAAGAAGGACGAGGGAAGACACGATAGCTGTGTTCCAATATTTAAGGGGCTCCTACAATGATGAGGGAGCCAAACTATTTTTCAAAGCACCGAAAAGCAAGACAAGAAGCAACGGATGGAAACTAACCAAGGAGAGAAGCAACCTGGAACTAAGGAGAAATTTCCTAATGGTGAGAGCAATCAACCAATGGAACAGCTTGCCTTCAGAAGTTGTGGGTGCTCCATCATTGGAGGTTTCCAAGAAGAGACTGGACAACCATTTATCTGAAATGGTATAGGGTCTCCTGCTCGAGTAGGGGATTGGACTAGAAGACCCCCAAGGTCCCTTCCAATTCTATTGTTCTATGTTCTATATTTTTGCCACTGGGCATTACTAGAGTTTCATGTGGTCCTACAAATATGGACAGTGAATAAATCTTTTGGGACTTTCAGACAAGCAGGATTGTATGATAGCTTAGTAGTATTCCCAGCCCGTTCCCCAGGTTAGAAGACCATTGAAGAAGCAGGAGATAAATCCTTGTTCTCTGAAGTTATGGGGCGAAGGTGAAATAGGCTGTGGCTTCCAGATGTAGCTGCAGAGGCAACAGGATTACAACTTTATGTCTATGGAGATTCTCAGTCATCCAGGTCTGCTTCAGCAGTTCCAAGAAGTCTCCAGACCCATTTGCACCACTCAGGTGACCCTTGAGGACACAGATAAACCTCCAAGTGGCCTCAACGACTCTCTAAATCTAAAAGAAGGCAAATAACCAGCTCTCTGCAAGGAGTATAAATCCTTCCACTCCCCACCATCCAGTCAGTGCTGAAGAAGCTTCTTGGATGAAAAGCGAAATGTCTTCAAAGAAAAAATAAGAAAGTCCAGTTGCCTCGTGAAAAAGCACCTTTGAGATTACATCTTCAGCATTTGAAAGAGTGACCTCAAACTTGGATTCAATTATTACTACTACTATGCAAACTAGTACACACGTAGGTCTCAAATCCCCAAAGGCGCTCTGCCAAATCATAATTACATTAATTTTTCTACAATGAAGTTCACCCCAAGATGAAGAGCTTACTCCAACTGTCGGCACAGAATCATTGGTTTCAATCAACTGTTCATCCTTTCATCCATTTGTTTCTGGAGTTTGTCACCACAATCATCACGTGGCTCTCTTAACAAATTCAGGGCAGTTGGTTGCTTGTCTTTGACTTTGATGTATGTGTTGCTGTTATCTTTGTTATCTCTTGCAGATGGAATATTCCCCATTTTTTCACCTCAATAACTAAAGGGCCGTGGCATTGCCCCAGAGCAGAAACAGATGCTAAGCCCTTCAAGGCCTTCCCTTTGACTATCTGGATACCAATTTACATCTTATTTGCTGGAGGCAAACAAGGAAATGGAGAGGTGTGAGACAAGATCCAACACAAGATCCAAAGAAGGCTGTATCCTCTCCTCTTTTTCATAACGCTGGACAAAAGCATGCTTGATGCAGAGCTGAAGACAAAATATTCCTTTTTGCTTTAATTAGAAGGAGTTCCAAATACGATCAAAGAAGCAACAAGGTAAAAGTAATTCTCTCTCTTCTTCCCAATCTGTTTTGTTTTTTAACCTTTCATAGGGTAAATATATAAATATATATATATTCCCTACAGATTAAAAAAAAGCATATGGCAAAAGTGGTCTTTGTCTGTGAAGCACCCGGGCTACCTGTACTTGAACTCTTTTGAACCTAATCTACAGAAGACAAGCAGTGATTGCTGTGAAATTATTCGTGTTATTCTGAATTGATTAGCTTGTTGGGAAGATGCCAGCACTTCAGGACTTGTGTTACTTGTTCCCAACGGTTCTAAGATTTGTGAGTTCAAAATATCTTCTGTAGGTTGACCAGATAAAAGGTTGGCAGGCAAATAGACCTTGAAGGGTATGAACACTATTATATGGAATTCCTTACAGACTGGTTGATTCCTTCTTAAATTCCTGCTTAACATAATCAGCAAAGGAAGCGATCAGTCAATAAAGCTGGAAGGGATCTTGGAGGTCTTCTAGTCCATCCCCCCGCTCAAGCAGGCGAACCTATACCATCTTGGACAAAGGGCTGTCCAGTCTCTTCTTAAAAACCTCAGGTGATGGAGCACCCACAGCTTCTGGAGGCAGGTTGTTCCACTGGTTAATTGTCCTCACTGTCAGGAAGTTTCTCCTTAATTCCAGGTTGCTTCTCTCCTTGGTTAGTTTCCATCCGTTGCTTTTTGTCTTGCCTTCTGGTGCTTTGGAAAATAAATTGACCCCCTCCTCTTTGTGGCACCCTCTCAAATACTGGAATGCTGCTATCACATCCCACCTAGTCCTTCTTTTCTCTAGATTGGCCAAACCCAAATCCTGCGACCGTTCTTCATATGTTTCTGCCTTTAATCATCAGTTGCTCTTCTTTGCACTCTTCCCAAAGTCTCAACATCTTTTTTTTGTAAATTCCTTCCAGTGAGTTTGGAACAGAGTGTTTTGGGGTCAGATTTTCACCCCCAAACAATCTGCAAGTCCTACTCAGCACTGGTCCTTTTTTTCAGAGTAGAATTGTCAATGTCTAAACCGAGAACAGAGATTGATGCAAACCACAGAGGTGGTTTGTTTTTTTTTTTACTTATGAATCTTATGAAGAGGTTACTAATGAAAGCTTGTTCTTAGCATTTGTAGTCATCTCTAAGGGGTGAGAGGAACAGGCTAAAAATGTGACTTAGAAGCAACGCCTCTCAACATTTTTAAACAGTAATCAATCTCCAGATTGCCCTATGACCATATTTATTTGCATAGATCAGGGGTGTTCAAACTTGGCCCTTTGATGACTTGTGGACTTCAACTCCCAGAATTCCTCAGCTAGGTATCGTTCTAGTTCTCCTGCTCTGCATTCCATTCAGTCTTCTTGGTCACCATACTACAAAAAAGATGTTGAGACCTTGGAAATAGTTTAGAGAAGAGCAACTAAGACAGGGGTCTTCAAACTTGGCCCTTTGGTGACTTGTGGACTTCAACTCCCAGAATTCCTCAGCCAGGCATTCATGCCTGGCTGAGGAATTCTGGGAGTTGAAGTCCACAAGTCATCAAAGGGCCAAGTTTGAAGACCCACTGGCATGGATGAACTATTCTTTTTTCTTTATGACACTGTTCTGATCGTAAGGCTGGACCAGGAGACCTCTAATCTCTTCTAGACTATGGTTCTATCTTAGGCTCCTCTGATGAGGGTCTTTTAAGCATTTGGTGCAAACCACAGAGTAAACAGTCTGCCAGCAGAAATGGTGTCATACTTCAAGGTGGAGCCACTCCTACCTCTTTGAGTCAATTTGGCTTAAAGTAGCCTAGGTAGAATCTCAGGTGCCGGATAGCGCTACCATTTCCCTTGGCGCCTATCAGTCTCCAGGTCTTACTGGATTTATTTGACTTTGCATAATTCTGATGTTTTAACTACCGTAGGGACTATTTCCTCAAAATGGAATTTCCACAAATTCTTGGTGGGAGATGATGGTGGCTTCGGGAGAAGGTCCCAGAAGAGAGGGCAATGGAGGCCCAACTCTGAAGGAAAAACTCGTCTGCAGCAAGCAACTCTCCCGCAAGAGGTGCCTCCGTAGCCTCACGGGCCTTCTGCACAGACATGAAAAGTCTCCTGATGATTCAGTGGCTGATTCTTGATGTTGGATTTGGGGTAAACATCTTGTGTTGTGTATTATCGTTGCTGACCACCTTCATTAGTTTGCCTTTACAAATGGATCTTTTCCAATAAATGACCAGAATTTCTACTTCCTATTCTATTCTGTTCTGTCCTATCCTATCCTACATTCTATTTTATTCAACATTCTATTTTGTCCTGTCCTGTCCTATCCTTTCCTATTCTACATTCTATTTTATTCTACATTCTACTTTACTCTGTTCTGTTCTGTCCTGTCCTTTCCTATCCTATTCTACATTCTATTTTATTCTGTATTCTATTTTATTATCTTCTATGCTGTCCTGCCCTATTCTATTCTACATTCTATTTTATTCTATATTCTATTTTATTCTCTTCTGTCCTGTCCTGTCCTATCCTATTCTACATTCTACAGTATTTTATTCTGTTCTGTTCTGTTCTGTCCTATCCTATTCCACATTCTATTTTACTCTACATTCTATTTTAGTTTATTCTACATTCTATTTTATTCTATATTCTATTTTATTCTCTTCTGTCCTGTCCTGTCCTATCCTATTCTACATTCTACAGTATTTTATTCTGTTCTGTTCTGTTCTGTCCTATCCTATTCCACATTCTATTTTACTCTACATTCTATTTTAGTTTATTCTACATTCTATTTTATTTTGTTCTATCCTGTTCTGTCCTGTCCTGTCCTATCCTATCTTATCCTGTCCCATTCATTCTATTCTAACTTACATTCTCTTCTCTTCTCTTCTCTTCTCTTCTCTTCTCTTCTCTTCTCTTCTATTCTATTCTATTCTATTCTATTCTATTCATATGTATATAGAATATGCAGATAGATAGATAGATAGATAGATAGATAGATAGATAGATAGATAGATAGATAGATAGATAGATAGATAGACAGACAGACAGACAGACAGACAGACAGACAGAGGTATAGAGAGATAGAGAGATATGCCCAACTGTCTGAAATACTGTCTGAAATGCTGTTCTGGAGCCTCCTTACTTGAGTGCTGAGTCTAACCCTGCGTAGGAAATCAAGAATTCAGGATGCCAGGAAGCTGTGCATCGCTTCTTTCATTGCATCCCATCTTCCACTAGAGGTCGGCCTTCTCCAGAATCCAAAAAAATCCAGCCAGATTCCTCCTTCTTCTTCCCAAGTGAAAACTGCCTGTTATTTCCACACTTCTGAGTTTCTCAACAAAGATTCCTTCAGAGCCACCAGCCTCAGCCACAGACCTCTTTCCCTCCCTCCCTCCCTCCCTCCCTCCGGTTTTAGCGGCAAAGAGCGCAAGGCCTCCTGCTTATGAAAGAGCCACTGTAAACCTCCTGGCTAAAGAAGAGAAAGGAGACCAAGGGGGATCTTTGCCTGCATCTAAACAGCGTTTTACGTTCCTTCACGCGGCTGCCACAGAAAGATTGCGAGGGGGGGAGGCGCTGGCGGGCTCTCCCCTCCCTCTGTTTCCAAAAGGATATTTGGTTCTTGTTGAGCATCAGAGTGTGGAGGTGTGGCGAGCTGGGCAAGCGGAAGTTGTTTTGCAGAAGGTTGTTGTCCAGAATGAGTTCTTCCAAGCAGCTGAAAGTCTGCAGTCCTTCCAGGGACCTGCACCCAGGAGAGAAAGAGAGAGAAAGAGAGAGAAAGAGCCTCCTGTTAGCCAAAGAGCCTGAGATTGAGCTGAAATCAACATTTTAACCTTCCCTTTTGAAAGGAACCCGGAAGAATTTGGGTTCCTGTCCCGTCAGGAGGGCTGAGTGACAAGAATTAGCGGGAAAGGCAGGGCCAGGGCAGCGTGGAGGACGGAGGCCGCTCCACCAGAATCGCCAGGAGACCCAGCTCAAAGGCCCGGAGGGGAGCCCTGCAGGATGGATTTGTCAACGTCTGGTGCCTTGCGGCCCCCACCCAGCCCCGCCTGACCCCAACCTCCATTCCCAAGACAAATAACTCTGTCACACTTCACCTTCGTTCTCAGGACAGGGATTTAAGTTGCCATCCATCATTTCTGCCCTGAAATATCATGCCCACTAACAATAATAAATTCAGTTTCAGAAATTGTGCTCAGCAGCCTTTCTAGATATATAGAAAGCAAGGAAAGGCTGGAGCTGGGGGTGGTGTGTGTGTATATGTGTGTGTGTGTGTGTGTGTGTGTAGATTTTCATGGGTACAGGTATGCAGGTCTTGGCATATTCGGGTCTTTTCCCGTGTAAGATTGAGAGTATCTTGGTGACGTTTCGACGAGGTCCCACTCGTCATCTTCAGGCTGGGGTCTTCAGCTTCGTGATTGTGTGAGCAATAATATATATTATATATATATTATATATATATACACACACAGAGAGAGAGAGAGAGAGAGAGAGACATGTTATTTATATAATAATACATACACACAGGGCTTTTTTTCTCATAGAATGCCCAGAATGGAGTTCCGGCACCTTTTTTGGATGGAACCTTGTAGGGTAGGCAAGGTGGGTTGTATGATGTGTGTGAGTTCCAGCACCTTTTTTTTTTTTTTTTACAAAAAAGCACTGCATACACACATACACATACTAATATATATATAACCTTATATATATATATAATCTTGAGTTTGTTCGAAATGGCTATTCCAGTTCTCCCTTAATTCTTTGTTAGCAATCCAAATTTTGAAATATTTGACATTTCATATTACACTGAGAAGCACAAAGCTAAAAGCACAAGCCTGATGATGATGAATGTGATTTCATCGAAACGTCACTATGATACTTCTAATCTTACACGGGAGAAAACCCGAATGACCAAAGACTCATATATATATATATATATATATATATATATGCATAAACATATACACACATACATATATATATATGTGTGTGTGTGTATGTGTGTGTGTGTATGTATACACACACGCACGCACGCGCACACACACACACACATACACACACACACACCACCCCAGCTCCAGCCTTTTCTGCTCGCTTTTTAAAAGCACGAAAGGGTCAGTATTGGAGAGAAATGCAGAATTGTTCCACACCACCTAACAGATAACAAATAATTTGTTTGCCTAACAAATATTTGCATACACACTCACTCCAATGCAGATATGCATAACCCTTCTTTAAAGAAGCAGGCAAAATATTTTCAACTATGGCAACACAACTCTCAAGGTTGCAAACAAAGGAGACTTGTAAATAAAAAAAACCAGCCTTGGTAGAATTGTGGCTGTGCATAAACCCGGGTTTGACCCTTTGCCAAGGATGGTGATTTCAGCATTAACTCATAGTTTCGTGGCTTTGCAAGTTCACACAGGCTGTGGGGGAGAAGCACCGGATCAATCAAAGAAGCATCAGCGTGTTGTATGAAACACACCCATCGACACACATCTGCAGCTTGTTCACCTTCCCAATACCTGGATCTGCTGAGAGGGCTTGACTTGACAGTCGAGCTCATTTGCTTATCAGGAAGGAGAATCACCACAATCACTGTCTGTTTTATAGACTGTGATGGCTAAAGAAGATGGAGGAGGAGGAGGAGAGTATTTATTCACTGCCAAATAACAATATTTTCTCTCTTCGGCATCCTTCATCAAGGCCTATAGGAGGATTTCTCTATTACATTCTCTCTAGGCTGGCTNTTAGATGGAGAAGGTAATGAAATGGGCAAAATCGCCACCCATGTGCATTGCTCTTTTAACGCTCTCAAACCAGTTTCCAACATCAAATTTGCCATGTGGCAAAAAAAAAATCTGCTTTCTTTGAAGACAACTCGCCGTGGAACTACTCGCCACAGGACAAGAGTTACACCAATATTGAAGAAACAGTCAAATAACATCATTAAAAGATGCTAAAGGAGGGACAGAATAAAATGTGAGTGACGAAATACCACGATCTGCAAATTGAAGTTGAGCGATTGTGGAGGAAGAAACTAATGGTTGTCCCTATAGTAAGAGAAGACCATGGAGCAACACCCAAAGGGCTGCCAAGATACATGGAAATTTTGAACTCATTAAACCTGAATATCCCTACTTTGAAAAAAAAAAAATCTTACTTGGAACCACCTATATATTCCGACGTTACCTTAACAGCTCTTAGGTCCTTGGTTAGGACTTGAATGTTAAGTTTTAACCAGTCCCAGATTGTGAATTGAATTGGAGATTAAATCAATAATAATATTAATATAATAATATTATATATTATTATTATCATCATATATACAGTGCTGCCTCTGCAAAAAAAACTGAAGCACCTGGTAAACTGCTGCAAGAACATCGCACAGACTGACTACAGGCAGCGGCAAGACAAAGTAGCAACAATGGTGCATTGGAAGATCTGCAAGAAATATCATTTGCCTACAAGCAAGAACTGGTGGGAGCATAAAATAGAGAAAGTCATAGGAAATGAAGAAGTTAAATTGCTCTGGGACTTCAGAATTCAAACAGACAAGCACCTGCCACATAACACCCCGGACTTAAACAATTGTCGATAAGAAAGACAAAAAAGTCTGGATAGTGGACGTGGCAGAGCCTGGAGACAGCAGAATAGATGAGAAAGAACTGGAGAAGATAACAAAATACAGAGACCTACAAAAAGAAATAGAACGACTGTGGCAAAAAAAAAAGAAAAGCAAAGGTAGCACCCAAATCCATAGGTGCCCTGGGTGCAATCCCAAAACAACTGGAGCACCACTTGAACACCATCATCGGCATTGACAAATTCGCCATCAATCAATTGCAAAAGGCTGGGAACTGCCTCCATCCTGCGATGAGGTCTGTAACACCACCAAACATCCACATCTGCCTATCCCAGGTCGTTGGAAAGGACTCGATAGGTAGACAAAAATGCCAAATCCAGTCTGAACATCTGGCTGACTGTGCAATGATCAATAATAATAATAATAATAATAATAATAATAATAATAATAATAATAATAGTAGTAGTAGTAGTAGTAGTAGTAGTAATAGTAATAGTAATAGTAATAGTAGACAATGAGCAAAATTTCTTCTGGGATTTATGTCATTTGCATATGGATGTCATTACAGAAACAAGGCAATATGCACCAATATGATTCCATTTACGTAAAGATGTCATTATGCAATTAAACCACATAAAATGACGTGACTGGATCATTTCTATGATGGCATCAAAAGGTGAAGTCAAAATAGTCCTTTTCTGGCTTTTGTAAGGTATTAGTAAACTCCTGAAGATGAGGAAGAAGTTCAGGATGCTTTGCTCGCATTGCGGGCCTTGTATGTACATCTCAGATGGCTGTATTGAATAACAGAAGCACAATTTTAGAATTACCTTGTAAACATCACCTCCCCCCTTTCATAGCTGGAGGGAGAAGGACAGAGGGAAGAAGACAATCATCAAACAGATCGGGCCTGGGAGGAAGAGCTGGAAGGAGGACGAGAAAGAAATTAATTTTTCTCCCATATTCCAAAGCAACCAAGGCTGGGCAGTCACAAGCAAATTGAGGCTTTGCTCAGAGGGCAAAAGATAAATGTTTGATCCATCACTGGAGATGGGATGGCCTTCATATGTGCATAATGGAGATCTGCTTTTCAACTGAGACCAGCCTGCCAAGATAAGCAACTATAATGAATGGAGAAAGCAGATCCTCTTCCATAAGAAAAGGATAATCTGATGAGTTTTAATAAACTTAATTTAAAAAAAAAAGAAAAGAACTGGAGAGGAGTCATTGCAAAACCAGTCTGTGGGACCAGCCAACAGAAGCACAGGAGAACAACGTGGATGGACCTTCACATGATACAAAAGGAGAGAAATAACATCTGGAATAGTTGATTTTCTGCAAGCACCAGCTTTTCCTCTATGCCTGGGAAGAGTGCCTACAAATTGTCGCTGCAAGACACCTAGAGATGGGCTGAAGGAGCCACTGTCACAGACCCACTTAGGACTGCATTGTCCATTTCAGCAGTTAACGCACACTGCTGGTTCACACTTAAGCGGCTAAAAAGGCTCTAACCATCCTGATCACCAATCAAACTTCAGACGTTGTACAGAGGCCTCTGAATAGTGCATTGTGCAAATGAAAAATCACAGCTGGGATCCTGGAACGCTCCTTCTACTGAAGAAAGCTTGAGCGGGATACCAGAGGCCGATCCTAAACCTTGGTCCAGGCTTGCCTCTGAGGGCAAGCAGAGAGACAGCCAGCAGAGACGGAGGCTGATCACAGACTGCCTCTCAAGATTCACAGCTTTTGAAGGCAGGAGGTTAATATTCTCACATGTCATTGGGCCTGCTAGCGCTACTGATGGCTGATTGAATCAGGCAGGAAATTATTTCCTTCTGCAACAGAGGACCCCAACTTCAAAAGAACCCAGGCCTCCTGTTCAATTAATGAGCTGGGATTAGCAGAAGTGGCCTGTAGGTAAGAAGGGACAAAGCAGACTTTTTTTTGGAGGGGGGGAGACACCCCTCTCTGCCTCTCTGTCACCTCCCAGCACCGGGTTTTATGTCAAGCCACTGCCTCTGATTGACCTGGCTTAATCTTGCCGGTGTTGTTTTTCCCTCCTTGATCTCTTGTAATCAGACAGAGGGTCTACCTGGCTAACTTCCCTGAAAGCTGTCCCACCAGAAGCTCAGCAGACACAAGCCATGGTCTCTAACCTGGTTTATAAATC